AGAAACCCCTGCAGAGTCCTGTAACAAGCTAGCATGAGTTACAGTGGAAGAGAGCCATTTCTCTGCGTGAGGAAACAGAAGAGGGAGCTCTGGCCTTTATTATCATACGGCTGGGCCTAATCCAAACCAGGGACCCAGGGGAGTTTTCACTGGAAAGTGCTCTGGGAGTGAGGCAAGGGGGAATTCGAAGATTTGCTGTTGTTGGGGCTTAGCGAAATGCGTAGGTTTTTAAGAGTCATCCTTGCTACAAAATGTGTGGGTTCTTGGCTCTTCAGGGAGGGTGGCTCCCATGTCTTGCACAAGCTCTTTTTTCCCCTGACTGCAGTCCCTGGCTGGTGGTAGACCTTGGCTTCTTTGCTTGGCTTGCATGAGTTAAAATGAATGTGAGCTCAACCCCAGGAAGTTTAGTTTATTACCTTACAAAAACATCATCCCTGCTTTTGTTGTCTCATGAGAGGCAAAGTTCTGCCAACTTCCATGGGTTAAGGCCAACTCATGTCCTGGGGCCTGGTTCCAGCACCTCAGTTTTTTTTTTTTTTTTTTAAGATTTTATTTATTTGTCAGAGAGAGAGAGAGAGAGCAAGCACAGGCAGGCAGAGGCAGAGGGAGAAGCAGGCTCCCTGCCGAGCAAGGAGCCCAATGCGGGACTCGATCCCAGGACGCTGGGATCATGACCTGAGCCGAAGGCAGCTGCTTAACCAACTGAGCCACCCGGGCGTCCCCAACACCTCAGTTTTATTGAAAATTCCCTTCTCACCTCTCCTTTGTTTTCCATATTTCTGTCCTAAGATTGTCTCTGCAAGAGCTCTTCTCAGAGGCCAGGTCATTGCCACTTCTCTGGATTTCCTTGGGGCTCCTGGACGCCCAAGGATGGAAACTGGTCTTACACTTTATTCTTGAGGAGTGGCTTTTTGGAGGAAATATGGAAACGAGCCTCTGGAAGTGTTAGATAGAAATCCCTCCCTGCCGCCCCAGTATTTGTTGAATATATGAAAAAGCACCTTGGGTCTCTAGACACTCATTTAATGTCAGCTGTGCTTCTAGAAACAATGGTGGGGGGATAGGGTAGTGAGGCCTTTGTTTTTGAAGACAGAAGATGGGAAGCTGGGGGTTTTGTTCCCCATGGAAGGAAGGATGTGGACTTTCTTCCTCTGCTTCTCTTGGTTCCCAAATTAACATTAGAATTTCGTAGAGTATCTATCCCATCCCAGTTTGTCCTGGAGTATAGCTTCCCAAGGACATGCCTGTATGCTTTTAAAGCCAATGAGACCTTTTAGTGTCTGCTCCGGAGATAAGAACCAATGTACTTAGGTCCCTTACATTTTGAAGCTGATTATTAGAGATCTGCTTTTTAAGTTTTTATGACCCCTAATGGTTATTTATAGGGGGAAACTTGTGGAGACTTGGACTGAGACACTGCCTAAATGTTAAGTATGAGAAGTTGACTGGTGGACCCCATTTTTTTGTACCTAGCATACTTTGGAGAATTGTGAGCCTACCACTGTTTGCTAAAGAATGTGAACTAGGACGTGAAAAGAGGAATTTTGTACATACAGAGATGCTGTTTTCAGCTTTACTTGGGTTGGGGGCAGTGGATGGGAAGCCCATTCCTTGTCCCCGAGCTTGCTGCGGCTTTCCCCCTTAGGTACGCGGTGCTCTGTGGTCAGCTGGCTGAGCATGAGAGCATCCAGAGGCGCATCCAGAGTGGCTTTAGCTTCAAGGTGAGGAAAGGCTTCTCTTCCTTCCCTGGTGCTGCTCTAGTCCAGATTCCCTGCTCTTCCCTTGCTCCTTGCAAAGCGTGTTCCTATAGTCTCTACGACTTGTTCTTCTTCCTTTAGCAACTCTGATGTCAATTTATATTTACATTTCCCCCCTCAGGAGCATGTGGACAAAGCCATTGCTCTCCAGCCAGAAAACCCTATGGCTCACTTTCTCCTCGGCAGGTGGTGCTACCAGGTAAGGTGCCTTCTGGGGCACCTGGGTGGCTCAGGTGGTAGAACTCCCTACTCTTGGTTCTGGCTTAGGTTGTGATCTCGGGGTCGTGAGACTGAGCCTCTGTCAGGCTCCAAGCTCAGCAGGGAATCTGCTTGAGAGTCTCTTTCCCTCTGCCCCCCTGCCCTCTTCAGTTTTCTCTCTCTCAAAAACAAAAAGACCACGTTTTTTTTTATTCTCACTTGGATCTTTTGGTGGCAGGTCTCTCACCTGAGCTGGCTAGAAAAAAAAACTGCCGCAGCTTTGTTTGAAAGCCCTCTCAGTGCCACTGTGCAGGATGCCCTCCAAAGCTTCCTGAAGGTATTGGGAAAGAAGGGAGGGATTTCTGGTAGGTTGCAATTTTAGGCTTGCCTGTTGAAGGAGAAAGTCAGAACCACCTGGACAGCTTATAAAAATAGAGTTCCCCAGGCCAAGACTGGAAAGCTCTATTTAATAAACTTCAGCCTGACTTGAATTTGGTAATTCCCTGAAATGCCTTGTTTCCTTTTCTAGGCTGAAGAACTACAGCCAGGATTTTCTAAAGCAGGGAGGGTATATATTTCCAAGGTAAACTCAACTGCTTTTTTCAACGTAGATGAAATTACATGTTGATACATAATGGGAAGTCCTGAAAGTTCAGTTTCCTGGTGGCGTTTCTCCCAGGTTTTCACTGTTGTCTCTTCTCAGTGCTACAGAGAACTAGGAAAAAACTCTGAAGCTAGACAATGGATGAAGTTAGCCCTGGAGCTGCCAGATGTCACCAATGAGGTAATACTTTGAAGAGCTTCTCTAATACTAGGTTCCATTATTGAATCATTTGAACTTTTCCAGGGAAGAAAATCTTCCCTTGAGGTTTTATTTTCCCTATAAAAGAGAGTTTACACTTTTGCATGTAGTCGTCTTTGTATATATCTCACCTTGGGGAGGAGGCAGATTTCATAGGCTGCAAGCTATCCTGGGAAGGTCGGTTAAAGACTGATAACAGAGCTCAGAAGTTATCAGTGGTTTGGGAGTTGGCTTAGATTTTTGAGGCCTAGTCTTTCTTGTCTCCCTAGGATTCGGCTTTCCAGAAGGACTTGGAAGAATTGGAAATAATTTTAAGAGAATAATCACATTTCAGTGGCCTTCATGACTTGAGGGAGACTGCCCTGCTTAGATCATCAGGAATCTAAGACTGCTTAAGTGATGGTCCTGACTCCTGGGTCTGACTGGTATCCATAACCATTCCCCAGTTTCTTTCCCACTGCCTACTGGTTAATTTATTCTAATCCCTTATTTTATCTGAAATTGGGGAAGTACTTAAGGCCTGGATTTCTATAGTTGTCTTAAGTGAATTCTTGAAAAATCAAGAGTTTTTATATATATATATATAGCACTGACGGCTGCCTTCAGCCTACTGATGAGGTGGGTGAACTTCAAAGAGCTCTAAGAACAAAACACAGAACTTGTACTCACTAATCTTTTCTATTAATATTTAAAACCAAACTATATTGTTCTTATACCCTATCAGGGTAAAAGGAAAGGTCAGGGCAGCCCATGGATATTGCCCTCTTATCTATCATGTGGATTCTAACTGTATTCCTGGGCTGAGGAGCTGGACCACTGTACTTCCAGAGTCCCGGCAGCTTTTGGAAGGACACCAGTGCATAAGGCTTAGGAGACTGTGAAACAATGATCTTAAGGAGTTGCCTGGAATATATTTTGGTATAAACCTGAAATAAACCAAATTTGACTATATTCCCCTATGTTTGCCATCCGCTCCTTTCTTGCTTGACATTTCTGTAATTGTTTTCTACTACTGAAACTACTGCAGACAAACAGAAAAATAGCACCAAAAAGTTTAAACTCTTGGGTTTTTAGTTATGTACAACACAGAGAGCTTCTTTTAGCCTAACAAGGCCTATTCCAACTGTTTTACTCTTAAGGGCCAACAGCACAAAGCGTAATCTCACCTGATAAACTAATTCACCTACAAGAATAATTGAGGTAAGTTTATAGGACTGAAGGACTGACATGCTTTTATATAAGAACCAAGCTTCCATTCCAGATTCTGTCACCCTGGCTTACTCTACCATCCCAGGTTTGTTATGTGGTATAGAAATGAAAGACAAGACTGGAGAGGTACTCCATTCTTTAAGCAAAGCTGCATTAAATTGACTGTCTTCCTATCTCCCTAAATACAGTAGGATCAACACAGCAACAGCAGAGATTTTCTGTGCCTTTCCTCCCAGTACTAGCTGCCAGGCCCTCTGAATTTCAAAGAGCTGGTTAAAAGCCATCCTGAGTAGAAGTCTGAAAGAGAAGAGGAGGACGATCTTAAATTCCTAAAGTAGAATAATCCGGACAAATAATCAGGGCTCTACAACATAAGACTCATAAAGGCCACTGGAAAGTCATGGGATATTCACCTTGTAATAGTCTCTAATTAGCCTGAAGGATAATTATCAACTGAATATATGACTTCCCTTTAAAATTTTCAATTTTAAAGCAATAGAAACTGATCACTCAGTGCCAAAAGTTATTTTGAAGGTCCTATCTTGAAATATTCAGCTTATACAAGAACGACTCCTGTAAACAGCACAAATAACTGCTTTATTAGCAGCTCTACACTAAATCTACTTAAAGAGCCCCTAAATGCTTAAGATTCCAAAATTATCTTGAGTTAACTCTTGGCAATTAAAAACCCAAGCAAGCAAACAGCTGGATGGCTGGTGTTCCAGTAGGCCTGCCCCATAGCCCTTAACTAAAAAATTCTTACATAAGATAATTCAGGCAAACTAACTTAAACTGTTTCTGACTGACGAGAGTTTTATCGGCAGAAAAGAACCACTTTCTTTGCCACACAGGCATTTCAACACTATTCGAACAGTGAGAGAAGAATCCAGTCTCCCCAGCTTATGTCTGCAAGAAAACTAAAGATTGTCCAGTAGACAACCATTACTCCCGAGTCAACCCCAAGGCACTATGTCAAAGGTATTCCTTTACTGCCCTTGAAATAATTCACAAATTAATACACTCCAGACAGAATAAACATTTCAGATCAGTTTGTGACTACTGACCTTGTCTCCTGTTTACACCATCAGAAAAGCTGATACAATAGCTGTTTTTCCAGAAGCCCTTTTCTGGCAGTCAAAACAGGAAGAGGCCTATGAAGAACCCCAGGGAGCAGTCCTCTCCATCAGGCTATAGCACTTAAGGTTTATCACAGGAAAAACCTCAATGTTTCAGTCTTTGGCATCTCCCACTCCATCTGCATTGATGGCAAACATAGCTTCAGCTTCAGGAAGACAGGGAGAGTCGTAGATTTTGCAGATTCTGGTTTCCCCTCTTCCTTTCCTCAGATACAGTCTGACCAAAAAAACCGACAAAGTTACAGTTTAAAAATCTTTGTCTTATTTATAGTAGCTCTAGATTTTTTTCAGACCTATATACTTCCTAGGACTCTGGGGAATCTTTCTGTATTCCTTAGGGGCATTTCCAACTTGGAGGAATCCACTCATACCCTGCTTCCAACTTTAGTGGATTTTTCATATTTGAAACAATTACTTTCTTAATAATGAGGGAGAGGCATATCCTTCATATTCAGTCTTGCATATCTGAGGGCTTTTAATTCCTTTATAAACTGAAAGCAAACATATGCACGAATTAGAGCATGACAATTAACGTTTAACAATGACTCCTGTGGTAGCATTGACTGGATTTAAATGGAAATTCAGATCTTCATGTCCACTTCAGTTAATATGACATTCTAAGACAAAGTCACCTATCCGTTCACTTTACCTGGTTGTTGAAGCATGAGCAATGATATTTCCTCCAATAGGTTTTTTAGGATCTGCAGCAAACATGGCTGCTCCATCCACTTGGGCTACCACCTGGTTGGTGATTACCACCGCCACACCAAACTGATGGAGAAAGGATAAATGTCATTTTTTGTGGCCATTCAAAGGACCTTACTGCTGCCACCCCTTCCCCCAAAGTAATGAATGATTAATACACCTCTTCCTATCTGGGAAACCAGGCCCTGATGTTCTGGCCTCCCAGTGAGGCCCCTGAAAATTAGGCATTCTCTGTCCCTATACACCTTACCTCATCAGCAAGTCGCAGAAGCATTCGCAGAAACCTGGCCAAGTGCATCTGCCTGGCTGAAAGCTCCCCTCGACCTGAATAGTCCGTTCTGTACAGGGCAGTGGCACTGTCTACAATGAGCAGCGCATACCTACAGGGAACAAGGACTCTATGAAGCTCATTTCGAGCCCGTGTCAGATTATGCTCCCTTCCTCACTACCTTAAACTTTCATATTCAGCTATACTCGTATATAAATGTTTTATTATTTATTTTAAAAAGATTTTTATTTTATTTATTTGACAGAGATCACAAGCAGGCAGAGAGGCAGGCAGAGAGAGGGGGGGAAGCAGGCTGCCTGCTGAGCAGAGAACCCGATTCAGGGTTTGATCCCAGGACCCTGGCAGAGGCTTTAACCTGCTGAGCCACCCAGGCGCCCCTGTAAATGTTTTATTAAAACAATTTTTACAGGGATGCCTGGGTGGCTCAGTTGGTTAAGCGACTGCCTTCGGCTCGGGTCATGACCCTGGAGTCCTGGGATTGAGTCGCGCATGAGCAGGGAGCCCGCTTCTCCCTCTGACCCTCCCACTTCTCATGCTCTCTCTCAAATAAATAAATCTTTAAAAAATATATATTAAAAAACAAAACAAAATGATTTTTACAACATTCTTGTCTGAGGCACTACATAAGTTTCCAATAAGTTCAAGTGAATTATGGCTTCATTTCTTTTTTTTTTTAAGATTTTATTTATTTATTTGACAGAGATCACAAGCAGGCAGAGAGGCAGGCAGAGAGAGAGGAGGAAGCAGGCCCCCCGCTGAGCAGAGAGCCCGATGCGGGGCTCGATCCCAGGACTCTGAGATCATGACCTGAGCCGAAGGCATCGGCTTAACCCACTGAGCCACCCAGGCGCCCCATTATGGCTTCATTTCTTAATGATTTGACCTGAACCACAATGCAACAGTGTCAAACTAGAACTAAAACTTAAATCTCCCCATTTCTAATTCAAGTTACTATCAATTTGGCCAAATAGCCTATATAAGATTCAGGGTAATGGGTCTGGGCCATACTCTGTGTCTTCTACTGAGCACATACCTAGATTCCACCATCATGGCCGATGCTTGATAAAGGAGCTGGGTCTGGTGGTCTGTGTTGAACCCTCGAGCATATGCTACATTATCCAGGACATCACTGCCAGAGAGGCCATATCTAGAAGAAAACAGAACGTTTTTAGACTGCAAAGAAAACTTAGATTGGAAATTAATAGTAAAGAGATTGCCTGATTAGGTAAGAAGTGTCAAGGTTAAAGAATATTAATTCCCTTTTTATTAGAAGTCCAGGCAAACTAGAGAGAGATGACTGCAGTAACTCCTTTGGGGTAGATCAACGGGACTTCAGGATAAATCAAATTTAGTCTCTCAGGACTCCTGATCCAAAACGAATTTCCAAATCATGTTCCAAGTACTCCCCTGGAAAAACCAATGCAACATGACAGAACTGGAACTGAAACAAAATTAACAAATCAAAGATCAATTAAATTCATATAAATTGTTGTTATAGAGGAATAAAACCTTTTTCTTTCTTTTTTTTTTTTTTTGAAGAGAGGGAGAGAGTAGGAGTGGGGGGCAGAGGGAGAGAATCTACAGCAGGCCCTGTAGCCAACACAGAGCCAGATGTGGGATTCAATCTCATGACCCTGAGATTATGACGTGAGCTGAAATCAAGAGTTGGATGCTTCACCACATGAGCCACCTAGGCACCCCTAGGAATAAAAGCTTCTAAACAACCACTCAAGGGGCGCCTGGGTGGCTCAATGGGTTAAGCCTCTGCCTTCAGCTCGGGTCATGATTTCAGAGTCCTGGGATCGAGCCCCCCATCGGGCTCTCTGCTCAGCAGGGAGCCTGTTTCCCCCTATTCTGCCTACTTGTGATTTCTGTCAAATAAATAAATAAAATCTTTTTTTTTTAAGTACAAATTCCTTGAGGGAAAGACTAGGCCTCTCTTACCTAGCACTTTTTTTAATACCTAAATTCTGAGTTAATGATACTGAATACAGCTTTTATCCACAACCCAAACAAGAAGACAATCATATCACTTTATAATTCAAATTTTTATATTAATGTTAACCTAAAATCATTATAGTCCAAAAGTATACCAACTCCCTAACGTTACAGTTCAAAAAAGAATCTGTTTAAGCAAAATCAAGGCATTCTTTGGGAACCCTAAGTCTCAATGTTTATGATTCCATCAGTCTTTTACAGAAGCAAGTCTATTATATGTGGAGACTCTGATCTTTACAAAAGCATACATTGCATTAAACCTATTCTTCTGGGATTTAGCTTTAGCTAATAGCATTCCTCTGGTTTTTCCTCCTAGAAAGCATAGAATCACAAAGAAATATTCTATCCTAGCACTTGGATAGAACACTGCAATAAGCTAACCCTCAGTATCAGGAGATCCCATTCTAACCAAGTACATTTTCCAACATCATAAAATGTATTTTTCATATCAGCCACAGTCTTTGTGCTTTTCTTAGCCACTTCACCTGCTGTTTTGGCCACCATCAACACAAGTAGAAGTTTAGCTTTAGCATTAAGTGGATTGATGATCATGAATTATTAAGTCTGGGCATAAAGATAAAGAGAATAAGGATAGAGGTTTACTTTGGAATCTTGACCAAACATAGATCGGGGATAAGGAGAAAAAAAACTTCCGTATCTATCTATCTATCTATCTATCTATATATATATTTTTAAAAGATTTTATTTATTTATTTGACAGACGGAGATCACAAGTAGGCAGAGAGGCAGGCTGAGAGAGAGAGGGAGAAGCAGGCTTCCCGCTGGGCAGAAAGCCCGATGTGGGGCTCGATCCCAGAACCCTGAGATCATGACCCGAGCTGAAGGCAGAGGCTTTAACCCACTGAACCACCCAGGTGCCCCAAAACTTCCATATTTAAATCATTGCTGTAAGAAAAAGATTCAAGGGGCACCTGGGTGGCTCAGTGGGTTAAGCCTCTGCTTTCGGCTCAGGTCATGGTCTCAGGGTGCTGGGATTGAGCCCCGCATCGGGCTCTCTGCTCTGCAGGGAGCCTGCTTCCCCCTCTCTCTCTGCCTGCCTCTCTGCCTACTTGTGATATCTCT